GTATCAGGGGGTGTGAATGTCAGAAGGTGAAGGACACGTCCCAGACAAGCTGGCACATCAGTCTGTACTAAAAAACAACAACTTCTACTTCAGATTCAGAAACCATTTTCCATCTACGCACACTTAATTAAATATGCATACCGAAATTACATTAAAGTGTCCGTGAACAAACACAATTCCTGCTTTATAGATTTCCCCCCCGAGGCAGGCGATTTCAAGGTGATCTTTGCGCTGGGCTTGCATTTTCTTAAGCCTAACTCAAACTGACATTCATAGCTTAGAAGATATTGATTTCTGTACATTTAAGGATGCGCCCTGCTGTTCCTCCCTCGTCTCTCGCTCCCTCACTGCTCCCATCACTTCTCGGCTCTTTCGTCGTTCCTCTGAAAGCTACACATGTTTGTGATTTGGCGTGTGGAGGAGAGTGGCAGGGCCGGCGGGAGAGGCCGAGATGGAGGATAGTACTAGTGATGGATATAGATATGTGAATAAAACATTCTACAGGTGCAGGCCCTCATCTTCAAAGCACAGCTTCACTGATCCCTGTTAAATATACAGCACTGCCATGTAACCTTCATACTGCTACTTTTCAGTGTGAACCCCTGTAGCCTGGGGCAAAACCACACGGTCCAGATGTCTTGTAAGTTTGCATCGGCGTGAGCAAGCAGAGAAATTCACACTGCATAGTGTGTGTTTGTATACGTACACTCAGAACGCAGAATAAAAAGTGATTTTTGCGTTTTCTCTTTAGAATCGTTTCAATGTAAACATAGTCTGACACTCTAAAAATTGCTGGGTTGTTTTAACTCAACTTTGGGTAAAATATGGACAAACCAGCCATTGGGTTACATTTTTTAATTACATTTTTAACCCAACGTTTGGATTCGTCCATATTTGACCCAAGGTTGGGTTAAAACAACCCAGCATTTTTAGAGTGTCAGGCTATGTTTACACGGAAACGATTCTGAAGAGAAAACGCAAAAGTGGTGTTGCGTCATCACTTTTTATTCTGCGTTTAGATGAGCGTTTTGGGTGGGAAATCTGCATGCAAAAGTGTGTGAAATTCAATGTAGTATGCACTCCAGGCGGCTAGGAGTGCATACTACAAAACCACCAAGTCCACGTGCCTGCGTACAACCTTCACTGTCAAGCAGACTTTTGCGTTTTTACCGTTTACACGGGAACGCGGCGGTGGAGCGTTTTTAAGATTTCCACTCTGGAGGATGGTTTTACTTTTTTGCGTTTTTAAGCTTCAAAAACGCTGTCGCCGTGTAAACGAAAGGCACATCCGATAAAATATTTTTACGTTTTCACCTCAAGAAAACACACGGTACATTACAGTGGGTAACACAATGAGAGAGTGACTTACAAATAAACAAGACCATAACTTAATATGCCATTTATTATAGTGCTTAACTCTTTCTCCACTAGTGTGTTCTTAAAAGTTGCAAGATATCACAAAATTTTCATTTCCCCCATAATATTTTGTCGTATGTATCAGAACATACATTGTTTAAGTTTCATTGGGTAAGTTTCATTTAAAAAAAAGCAACATTTTGGGCAAAAGGCTGAGAAAACGTGTTTTTGTCAAAGACTGGATCAGATTCAGGATCATGATGAAAATAAAAACAGTTGGAGTAGGTCTTGCACAGAGTAGGTCTACAACATTTATTCGGTAACATTAGGCAGTTTTGAATATGCTTTTTTAAGTTGAGGATGTGTTATTTTACATATACCAATGATTACATTTGACATTGCTTGTTTGTGCGTCTTCTTCGCATGTCTTTTGATCAGGAGATTCAGTACTCTTTCAGAAGATATGTCATCATAGCGCCCCCTAGTATAACAGCGAAAACGTGGAAAGCCAAAAATTTCCATCAAAAACGTTCTCATAAAGATGGAAATTTCCGTCAATGGCGGGGAAAGAGTTAATACTGTTAATTAGTCTAAATATTAGGATTCTAGATTAATCTGCCGATATTTGGCTAATTGAGATTTACGACATGAGCCGCTGCTTCATTTGCCAATTCAATGGAATGTCAGAAATTACATTACTGATTTAATTTCTCGATTGTAACTTCAGGGTTCTCAAGTCTCACGCATTGGCCGTGAGACACACGCATTTCGACCGGTTCACACGCTCACACGCCACACTGTGTATTTCTCACGCTGAAAAGGCAATGCCAACCAAGTTGTCCTGGCTGAAAGCTTTCTAACGTTGTATACGAGGCGCAGGCAAACAAAGTGAAGTTTCCTGCCGCCAGCGCGTATCTCCGCCAGATTGCGTTCATTACTAGGCAACATATATGCGCGCTGCGTGCACCACTGATCTATACATGACATGTCATTCAGTAGCGCGAACACACGGAAATGGACGGAACATCCTCGGTATCCTAGGTAACCAACAACATCGCGCGAACACATGTGTCGTGATGGAGAAGAAGGTAAGTTGGAAGAAGCTCGTCTAACATTTTTGGGCTAGAACATTTAATATGTAGCCCATCGTACATTATTATTGATGCAGTCAAAAACTCTACAACTACTTTGCAACCAGGCTCAGTTTGGCTATCTTACGTTATCTGAAACTAAGAGAAATGTTAGTGGGTATGGAAAGGAATGAAGATTTACTGATTTTATTTTAAATTATATTATACTGTAATATATTAATAGTCTTTCTAGTTACATTAAGGATGTATTACAGCAGATTGCTTTGGGTAATATTTAATCATTGTCATAATGTTGCATTTGTATTTTTCAAAGATGTCAGGAAAAAAGCAGAAAGATATTTTGTCATTTTGGGCACCAAAGGGTAAGCCCCCTAAAAAGGTTGCCAGATTAGAGGAGGAGACAGTGGAAGAGGTGGTGCACTCTAATCTGTCCATTTGTTCTCAATGTCCCACCACACAATAAATCATTCGTCTAGAAGACGCATTCAAAAATCAAAATGCAATTTTTAAAGATTTGTTTGAAACTGTTTGGAGCAATTTGTTATATTTTTGGTTAGCTATATTTGTAATACTGCATTAAAGAGTTTTTGATGTGATGAATTGCTCTGTCATTTATCAGATTTACTAATTGTTATAATTTTAATTTGTTCTGGTTAATTATGAACAATGGGTAAAATTGGGGGCGGGGATGGGTGGGGCGGGGCGGGGCTTCATTATGGCTCCTCCCCTAACCGCGTGTGATCTCACTCCAAGCTTTTGCTCAAACTTGAGAACCCTGTAACTTAGTAAGCCAATAAAAGTGTTTGTGCATCGTCAGCATTTTAGGTAGGCTAATATACATTTGCTATAAGCATTAGCTAGCCAACAAATGTCATAGCCTAACAGGGGAAACAAACATTTCAATCTACCAGTAATTGCTAGGCTACATAGCCTACTTACATCAACTATGATAATCGAACAAAATGCCATTGTGAGCCTTCCACGGTGACATGAAGCGAATTCAAAACATTTAAAGTGCAAATAAAGACGTGAGAAAACCACCACCTACTGTTGATCGCTTTAAATCGACTTACATCGATTACAATTGATTGAATTGGTTAAAAACGATTAGATGTGTTGCGTCTCACTCCCAGGTAAAGGTCAAGTAGAAAACGCGCGTTCACACACCCCCCACCTGCGCGCGCACCCGCTTCAAATGAGTTCCCTCAACCCCCTGCTAGATTAACACAAGCAACACCGACAAGAACCCTCATTAAGAGCGTCTGCCAACGGCCACTGGGACAGAATAAACCCCCTCCACCCCCCAGCAGCATCTGTTGAAGCGCAGAGCCCGGTATATGCGCCACATGGACGCATTAAAAACCTATTCGTCTTTCAAGAGCTCGTGGCACCACTAATAGCCCCTCATAACCCACATACCGATTTAGACCGGGCACACAAGTGCTCCCACGACGCCGGGTGTCCATTTAAACAAGCCCAGTAATGACAGAAGGGCGAAAGAAAGAAAGGGGTCTGCTCAGCCATAAATCGTCGTTTATGTGCCGGACACGCAGTTCGCGTTGGTTTCTTTGGCTCCCCACTAAATGAATTCACAGTTGCTGGGTTGCAGAAACCTCCCCCTTATTTACCAATACATAGCCTACTACTAGAAATCTAATCGTAAATTATCCAGTAGTCCTTCCTGCGGCATGGGAAATCGTGTCACCTCCGTGACTGGAGTAATACATTTTGCAGTGCGAAACGGGACTGATTGACCATCTAAAGTTAACACTTTCGTGTAAAACTTTTCACTTCAGGTGTCTAGTCCACTGGAAGGTGTCGGACAAGAGTGAAAACCGACACCTTCTTTTGTTTTAACAGTCTTGACAGCAGAAGTAGTCCACCAGTTGTGTTCAATTTCGTTTAAAACTTGAGTTGTAGGTTCAAACGTTATAAAGTTCAAGTATACACGGAGACTTTATTAGGCTAAATGAAAATGAGAGGCCTTTGATAACCATGTATATTTTTATATAGGGGTCACGAAAAGTGAAAGTTTACCACCTTGCCAGAACATATTTTGTCGACCATGCTCTTGACAAGAAGAGAAAGTTCAAAGTTGGTGACTAAAAATAGTCTCGAGCACGTTCTCACAAGTTCAGCAAGAACATTTCCACAAAGGTTACATTGTTTAGGCGAAAAAATGCTTGGTGTTGAGCAACTAAAACTCATGCCAATCCAACTGGAGCGTATCTGAAGGAGAGGCAGGGAAATAATAAACAGCGGCGGCTAACTGTCGTAAAATTCCTCAACGCTCACCGTCAATGAAATGTGGCATTTATTAGTCTGGCGACATTGATGCTCGTAACTTCTGCAGACTAGTGATTATCCACTAAGGGTCTTGTCGGTGTAATAGCGCTTAACAGCTTTCTTTCCCTCCTGTGAGAGACATTTCAAAGCCGTCCTTCAACGATTTGTTTCGAAAACACGAGGCGTTTTGAGCGTCTCCAACGCAAAGCTCTTCTTAAATAAATGGGAATAAACGCCGTGCCCAATGCCTTTAGTTGCGGCTCTTACCTTTTGTTCAAGGAATTCCAGTAGATGGGCTCCATGTTGGTCGCTGTGATCCCGAGTAAATCCACTAAGAACATCAGCAGAATTCCCAATCCATTTTCACAGCCTCGACTCGCCATTTGAAATCCCGAATTCCTTCTGTTTACTCCCATCAAATCTGTGTGGGATACTCTCCCAGAGGATGGAGATCTCTAGGACTCTCGGAACAAAGCGTTCAGGTGAATCCGTCAGTGTGATTCAGGAACAACGTGTTTGGGGAGCCTGCATGGATATCTGCGAAACACGGGAAGATTAGATCAAACAAAGGTGCAGTCTAAGTGGATTTAAGCAGGGTCTTTGGGGGAAAGTCGCTCGTGGACGAAACTCCTGCGCAATTCAATTCCCACAGCCGTTTTGCTCGCAAAGAGTTTACTTTTCCAAAAATTCCCGATGCTTATTTTTTTCCCAAGGCGTTTAGGCTGGACCAATCTTTCCTATTCCCTTTCACTCCCACTTCATTCTGTTTCCCCGACGAAGTAGGACGAGAATGTGATGGATGATGGTTTGGATGGTTTCCTCTTCAGAAGAACATGTTGATGCTGGACAGATCTCTCTGCTTCTCTTCCTCACCTCTAGTTCTCCTACTGGATTTTCCTGCTTGCCTCTGAGATTCCAGTAATTCCGCATACACACAAATGAAATGTTGCAATCCAGACAATTAACGTGGGGGGGAAATGGCTAAACTAATTAATGCAAATTACAAGCAAGCATGAAAACTAATTTACAAATTATTGCCAGATTTTCCAGGGAGGAAAAATGTTGCAATCCTTATTCATGGGTTTCGGTTGCAGGGTATTTGCGAATGTGCTCGGATGTGGCAAGTCATTAGATAGTTCATTTCTCGTCTGTCCTGCTTAGATTCTCTTGATGTGTCTCTCTCACTGGCTACAAATCCGACTAGTGAGACTTGTTCCTAACGCTCGGCGCACACTGACAGACTGAGTTGTTTGAGAAAGAGAGAGAGAGAGAGAGAGAGCGAGAGAGAGAGAGAGCAGTATGGCAAGCCGTTTTAACTTTTATTCATCCCCAGGATATGAATTCTTGATATCATCAATAGTAAAAATGCTAATTCGTGATAACAATGTCATCACCTCACGGAAGTGCGAATTAACAAGTAAAAATATTGTATTTTCACTAGTTAAACGCCACCATTAGCTCTCATTCAAATTCATTTGTTGATATCAAGAATGTATTTCTTAGCCTACTAGTTGAAATTCCAATTTCACTAATTAGAAATACAATTCTTACCGGTAAATATCATAATTGTTTACATCAATAATTATGTTACAAGTAAAAAATAAAATAAAAAAAATTCCTGATATCAAGAACTTGATTTTCACTAGTTGAAATGTTAATTCTTGATATCTGTAAATGTATTTCAACATGTTACATTTGTTCGAACGGGAGAAACACCGGTGCATCTTCTAAGAGCAAATTTATTAAAGATGCAACAATTGACTAACGTTTTGATGTACAACTACATCTTCATCAGAGTCCTTTTTCTCCAAGGACTCTGATGAAGATGTAGTTGTACATCGAAACGTTAGTCAATTGTTGCACCTTTAATAAATTTGCTCTTAGAAGATCTGTGCACCGGTGTTTCTCCCGTTCTGTCTGATCTTGTCCTGCCCTGGTTGCACCGGATCGTTTTGGCATTTTTCAGTAGCGCAGTAAGCCTCCCTTTCTTAAATGTTACATTTGTTATTTCTGATATCTGAAAAATGTATTTCCGATATCAGTAATTAGGAGTAATTTAATCAGATATCTAAAATGGCTTTCTTAGTAAAAATAACATTCATGATATCAGAAATTAACTTGGTCACTTTAGTGACAATTGAATTATTGATTTAATTTTTTTACTATTAGCAATTCAATTGTTGATATCAAGAACAGATATTTGCACTAGTAACCATGTAATTATAGTAGTAAGAAATCCATTTTTGATATCAACAATTGAATTTGAATGCCAGACTAGTTAAAATATAATTATAGACATCAAGAAATATAGTTTTTACTAGTTGAAATGTAATTCTTGATATCATGAATTTGTAGTTTTGCGAGTGATGACATCATTATCGATATAAAAAATTAAAAAGTTTACTAGTTGAAATGTTATTCCTGATGTCAAAACTTGACATTGTACCTAGTAGAAATCTTTTCTGATATCAAAAATGCATACCCTTGGAATCAATAAAAGTCTAAACGGCTTGCCATAGAGACAGAGAGAGAGAGAGAGAGAGAGAGAGAGAGAGAGAGAGAGAGAGAGAGAGAGAGAGAGAGAGAGAGAGAGAGAGAGAGAGAGAGAGAGAGAGAGAGAGAGAAAGAGAGATAGGGGGTGGGGGGTGCGCTCGAATCAGAAAAATCCCATCTTCCGGCTGGAGTGCGCGCTAACGGAGCGGATTTTTCTTTGGGGGATTTGTTTTTCCGCATGTAGGCTAGAAGTGCTATTAAATCACATCACCAGTCATGAACACATCCATATACCATGCATGCAGACATATTTCCCAATGCTCACGTAATTCTCCATATAATTCGTCTATACCTATAAATAAATAATAAGTCGCTGAACACACATTTTGTGACTCCTTCTTTTCCGTTTGAAATGATGATCGTGAATCAGCCGATCACACCGATCACCGCTGTGCGTTCAGAAGCGACGGCTTACGGAGCCACAGCGCCCCCGGCGCACTCGCTGGTAACGGTGCATGTAATAACATTTCATGCTGGTGGTAACGACACTAATGACAAGCTTAGTAAGATATGAAGCCGATAAAGAGCTTGTTTAATCAATAGTATCTCTACCGTCCATTTGAAACTGGAATGATTTTCAGCATTCTACGAAGGCTATGTGAAAAAGCGGCAATTAACTGTGTTTGTATGCCTGTCTATTTCATCTGAAAACAACAATTAAGAAGTGTACTATGAACTAAGCGCTGCTGCTGATGGGACCCGAGGCGTGTGAACGAAGGACTAAAGCCTTGCTTACACTGACACCCAGCGGCCAAGGAATGATACTACAGTCCACTCACACACATCACTCATTTGGACAGCCACATCAATTTTATGTGATGTTAACACAACTAAAAAAAAAAAAACGATCAATCCATCCATGTCATTTTTTTGTTTTGTTTTAGCGCCATTACATTCATTTATTCATATATAGAGCAGTTGATAAATAACAGGCATTTTAATGTCTAGTAAAAAGATACATTTGTTTACATTTACTTATACGTTGTAGTTTTTTCTGTAATATTTGTGCATATTTATAATCATAGAAAAAAAGGCAATTAAGTATTCTTTATACAACAATTTCAAGTGAAATTTTGATGTCATTTGGATTCAGTGAGTAACATTAGTCACATTGTATCTTAATGTTATTAAAATATGACTAACAAAAACAATGTAAGCTGCTCCAGGAAATTATTACATATTTGATGTGTTGTTCATCAGTAGTGTCAATCACACTCTAATGTAAAAAAGACTAATTAGGGTATTAAATATGCATAATTATATATCAATATTTGATCTGATAAACATGTTAGTTCAACAGTATGTGCTGTACACCCTTTTGAAAACATTATGATATGATATGTTTGTATTTCATTTTCAAAAGTACACAGACTAGGGCGTTTAGCCGGTCTGATGTGTATTTCTGTTTGTTTGGGTTTGTATATACTGTACATGTGTATGTGTATGCATGGGTATATACTGTATGTATATATATGTGTGTGTGTATATATATATATATATATATATATATGTAGGCTATATTTGCATTGGTTACTTGGATCATGTTTTATTGATGTTGTGTATTCCTCTTTTATTGTGAAGCACTTTGTGATTTTTTTCTGTGAAATGTGCTATATAAATAAATTTTAGTTACTTACTTACAAACCAATTACATGTTTTTTTAATTTAATATGCAACAGTTAACATGTGTCATAACTAACTAAAGGGAAAGTAAAGTTTCCTATCTCGGGACCAAGGAGGATACATTATTAAGGCAAGTGAGTAAAGGTTTTCATAATTTTTTAAAAGTGACATATCACCCGAAATTGAAAATGCTGTCGTCCTTTACTCATCATTATGTTGTTCCAAACCTGTAGTTTATTCTGTTGAACACAAAAGGGATTTTGAAGAATGGATTTTGAAGTATTTTTTCCCTACTATGAAAATCGACGGATATCGTCTGTCTGATTATCAACATTCTTCAAAATATCCTCTTGTGTGTTCAACAGAAGAAGCTTTTGTAGTTCACTTAAACCTGTGGTGCATCAAATACATATTCAAAGTACGATATAATTGGAAAACGATGCTTAAAGACAAAGTCTCACTGCGGGACACTGTTAAATACCCAGACAGACACTGTGCGCAGATCACAGAGGAGGGGGGATCTCATCATCGGTCTGTGTCGCAGTGTCCACGAGTCCTGGCTCTCTCCCCAGCCTGCGGGGTTTCAGCAGGTAATCCGAGTGGAGGGAGGAGTCGGTCAGGTCCACGAACCGCATGTAGCTCGCCTGCACCTTCTGAAAGAGGAACACAAGCACATCAACATGCTGGTTCAATGCCAGTTCGACAGATGCTGTTATTTAAACAGGTGGATTCTTCATAATGCCCAAAGATGGAAGCGTCCTCAAGCCAAAGGTCAAATGTCAGCACTGTTGTTTATTATGTCAGGGAGGAACCAGGCCTGATTCCAGAATTGCATCACTGAGGGCGATCTAGTGAAGTGCAGATGTAATGTGTAAGCAACCACTCCACAATAGGTATTACATTTGAATTTGACTTAACTTTTAGACCAGCATTAAAGGAGTAGTTCACTTTTAAAAAACTTTTGCTAATAATTTACATCCAAGATGTCCATGTCTTTCTTTCTTCAGTCGAAAAGAGTTTTTGATGAAAACATTCCAGGATTTTTCTCCATATAATGGACTTCAATGGGAACCAAACGGTTCAAGGTCTAAATGAGAGTTTCAGTGCAGCTTCAAAGGGCTTTAAACGATTCCAGACGATGAATAAGGGTCTTATCAAGCGAAACGATCGCTCATTTAATAAATAAATAACAAAGTTTAAGTTTTATAAGCTCAAATGGTCGCCTTGCTCTGTTCTGTGATGCCTTCGTGACTCCTGTTCAAACTCGTTCATCAAAATGAACAAATCTTTTTTCGAGTCATTTGGTTCAATGAACGAAATGAACGAATTGACTCAGAAAAGGGTTTATTCATTTTAATGAACGAGTTCGAACAGGAGAGTCACGAAGGCATCACAGTACAGAGCAAGGCGACCATTTGTGCTTATAAAACTTAAACTTAGTTTTTTTTTTTTTTTAATGAGGGATCGTTTTGCTTGATTCATCGTCTATAATCGTTTAAAGCCCTTTGAACAGTTTGTAGTTTGCACTGAAACTCTCATTTGGACCTTGAACCATTTGGTTCCCATTGAAGTCCATTATATGGAGAAAAAACTTGGAATGTTTTCATCAAAAACCTTAATTTCTTTTCGACTGAAGAAAGAAAGACATGGACATCTCGGATGACATGGGGGTGAGTAAATTATCAGCAAACGTTTTTTTCAAAAGTGAACTACTCCTTGAAGATTTCCATTGTTAGAAATCCAGTCACACTATCGCATCAGGGAGCCGTTATCAATATGATAGGAGACTCGCGGAACGTCTGATAGCGAGGGGATTAACGAAGATGCCGAAGACAAAACGCTCAATGGTCACGTGTTGCACTTAAATTTTTTGTCGTAGCTTGCCGGAAATAATCTATAGAGAGGCTGTTTCAGAAATCGCATGCTTCCCTAGTAGGCAAAAATCAGCATGTGACAAAAGAAGTATGTCTGAAATCACAGTACTCATAAAAGAGTAAAAAGTACCGGATTCGCTAACAGAGAAAACACAACCAATGGCGGAGAAAGTGTCAACGAGAACCAAACGTCAGAGGAGGATCTGGCTCGGGAGGAGAGAGAGAGAGCTCTGTTATTCTGTCATTTAGTTGCAGATGCTGCTGGATTCGAGCAGGTCCCGTTTTAGAGCTGTTCATTTATTCATGATGACCTCATTACAGGGGCTGACCTTAAACTCGGCTTCATAGTGAGTGCTCTCCCTGCAGGCCTGCTCCAGACTGTCTCGCAGCTGCTGGAGCCTGGAACACACACACATGCACCACTTCAAAATATTATTACAAGGAAGTGGAGAGGCAGCGTTGATGGTGACAGAAACAAAATCTATAAATTCTAGGGTTCCTGTAGAAAAGGGAGAGGGCAAAAAGATACAGAGAGAGAAACTGATGAAATGTACAAAAGGTGAGGAGGAGAAAGAGAATAGCTGAGATGCATCACAACAGGAATCTGGGCTGAGCAGGAGGGGAGTTTCATGTGTGTTTTTGCCTGTTTTGTAGCTCGGATATCTCTCGTTCATGCCTGTCCTGTAGGAGCCGTTTCTCTCCTTCTGCTTTCATGTCACACTCCTCACGAACACTTCTCTCGGCGTCCTGCACACACCTCCTCACACACTCCTGACACACAGAGGAAGGCAAGGAGCAGAATGAATCACTTGTTTCTTTAAACAGTGGCTCATATATTAGTATATCAATCAGTCGTTAGTCAGTTAATCAATAATTGCATCATAATTATTAAATAAATCTAGCACTTTGGATATTTTCACTGCACTTCAGTCAGTCATGTAGGCTACAGCTATGTGTTGTCTTGTCTGAAAGGGTGGTTTAAGCCCCGTTTACACGAGAACGATTCTGGGTGAAAACGTAAAAATATTTTATCGGATGTGCCTTTCGTTTACACGGCGACGGCGTTTTTGAGGCTTAAAAACGCAAAAAAAAAGCAAAAAAAAAAGTTGAAACCACCCTCCAGAGTGGAAATCTTTAAAACGCTCCACCGCCGCGTTCCTGTGTAAAGGGTAAAAACGCCAAAGTTTGCTTGACAGTGAAGGTTGTGCGCAGGCGTGCGGACTTGGTGTTGTTTATGCACTCTAGCCACCTGTAGTGCATACTACATTGAATTTCACACACTTTTGCGTCACCATCTGCACGCGGATTTCCCACCCAAAACGCTCGTCTAAACGCAGAATAAAAACTGATAACGCAACGCCGCTTTTGGGTTTTCTCTTCAGAAACGTTTCCGTGTAAGTTAAACATAAGTTACACACCTGTTCCCTGTTCTGTTGATTGTTTTTCCTTATTGTCCCGTACACTTTGTATGATTTTGGGCTGTCAAATGAAAGATGACCTATCGTGGATATTGATTTCTGTCGTGGCTCCCAAACGGTGGTTCTACGTCAAACAGTGAGAGGTTCAACGACGGCCGTTGTCGCGGTCTTGCGACCAAAGATAGCCTACAATATTTTTCTGACAGTTTCAGTAATTTAGCATGATCTTCTCACCGTGTGTTTGCTTCTACAACCTACGTCTACTGACTAGCCAATAATAATGCAACATGAAATGTATCAACGCGGCATGCGCTAAAACTCAAAACTATTTACCTCAAGCTCCATTTACAAGATTGGCAAGACAAATTGGCCTTTTTTCCCTAGCCATGACCGCGTCCATATTCTCCCCTAACATAAAAACCACAATTGCCAAAGTGCGATTCATCTTCTCCAAGGTAAGCAAAACTAAGATGCAGCTTTACAGTAAACTATGCTTTTCCATCCATTGTTTATGGTTACTTTACTTTACTGTGAAGCTTACTTTACTTCACCATATACTTTATTGTGTATGATTTATGATTTGTACAGTTTTTTTGGTTCTTTACCTGGAAAACCAACGATTGTGCCTACTTCTATGAGGGATCATTCAATTACAGAAATTCTATGAAATCTTTCAATCCTCAGTAAAATGTTCAGTGATTCTTGATGCAACTGGCACCATGCATCTCAATTTAATATAATATTGTTACAGGCGAAACCTACTGTTTTGAGGAATGTAATTAAACAATTATTAGACAAAACAACCCCCCAAAAAACTATTTGGTTAGTGGAAGCCTAGAGGCGGTCCACATATTTATTTGCATAGTAAATGCGTTACTGCACAAGCATGATAATATAGTCAGCCGGACATTATTGCAAACTAAATTGCACATTGTCTAATCGTTTTCTTTTGCATGTTTACTACAGACCTTATTTTACTTATTGCCCCATTATAAAAACCCATAGGAAAATCTCGAGGGACAAATTAGTCTTCCGTGTTTTAACGTCACGACGGCAGCACTTTATTGCCCTAAAACGTAACAGACATGTTTACATACCAAACAAGTGCTCTTATGAAGCTGACCTCACCACAATGTACTGTATTTGGTTTATAATTGTGGGAATCAAACATCCAAAAATAAAGGCACACACCTGAGTCTCTTCTCGTACGGTTTGTATTATTGTCTCTCTGGTCTCCTCTGCCTCTTTGTTCAGCTGTTCTCGCAGCTTCCCACAGGCTTCCCCTACGGCCTGGACCTTCTCTTCCTCCATCTGAGCCTTCAGGCCTTCACAACGAGCTCTGAACTGGGCCTGAAGCTCGGCCTGAAGCTCTCGCCTCATTTCAGCCTCCAGCCTGTCCCTCGCTCGCAGGGCCTCCCGAAACCGGGCCTGCAGACTCTGGGGAACACGTGAACGAGAGGAAGAGGGTTGAAAACCGATGAGGAGGACAGAGAAGGATGAAAGTGTTGGGGTGAATGCGAAAAGAGGTAGAGAGAACACAAAGAGACATGGCGTTGGGGAGGGAGAGGAAGAAATGGATGGATGATCAGTGTTGGCAGGGCAACTGTACTGGGCTGATGAAGAGGGGAGTCATCTTTGGGTTTGGCTGCTGCTTGCTTTCCCTGGAGAGCAATTACACAAGCAATTACACCCTATTACAAAAGCTCTTCTCATTTCTCCGACACAATGGCGAAGATTTGACTGCTACTGGCATTGGAGTCGAAACCGGATCATTCGTTAAATCTGACACTCGGACGCAGCGAGGATTAAGCTGCTGCTACTGGACAGGGAAAAAGAAGTTGAATTAGAGTCTTTTTATCAGAAAGTTTTAATCAAGTCCTAATCAAATCTCTCCAGACTGCTTCCCTGGAGACTGAAATATGGCTTTCTGAATTGCAGGAGACACAGTGTTGCAGTCTAATACGTCTCTATTAATTACGTTTTCGACACGGTTCACTTGAGGATTACAAATATTCACCTCCTCTTGGAGTTTAAGGGCAGCACGTTTCTCCTCCTCTGCCAACTGCTTGAATTCCTCCACGACGGGGGCGTCGGGCTGTTCCCGTCCAATCGCAGGTCGGGAATTGACCAAGTTTGGAGCCAATTTTAGGTGGTTGTCTGTTCTAGCGTCGGGAGATGACCACGGACACAGCCGTTCTCCTAGTTCTGATAGAAGAAGTGGTTTTAGCATGAGAGTCAGCGGTTGCAACAGGTGGCAACTGATTACGATCGTATAAAAATGAAATAAACGGAAGATCTTAAACGGAAGATGCACATAGGAAATAAAAACCATAAATGTTATCTCTAATATCTCACTCGTTTATCCTGGATGCTTAATAGAGAGCAAACGAAAACTTTGTCTTTCCACATGTCCCTCCTGTGGAAAAAGAGCCACGTGACTCTTTCTAGAGTTTCAGAAGAGAAACATCTCAAACTGTGCTCAGAGACCCAAGTCTGTAATGTAAAGAGCTTCCCCAAATATCAAGTATGTTGTCCACGTTCATGTACAGTTTTATTCTTAAAGTCAACAGTTGTTTTATTTGTGTCGACTTCTTATCTATCCTAAATCTTTGTATTCACTTTTTTGTATTCGTCATTCCGTGCCTGTGAATCGTCAAAACACCTCTTGAAATGCTTGCTACGAATGCAAATAATGCATAAAATAAAAAATTTTTTTGACCAGACAAAAGTTTCGGAGGCAAAACTATTTGGCGAAAAAATTTGCAAGGACCTTAAAGGATTAGTTCACTTTTGAAAAAACTTTTGCTGATAATTTACTCACCCCCATGTCATCCAAGATGTCCATGTCTTTCTTTCCTCAGTCGAAAAGAAATTTAGGTTTTTGATGAAAACATTCCAGGATTTTTCTCCATATAATGGACTTCAATGGGAACCAAACGGTTCAAGGTCCAAAAGACAGTTAATAACAGTTTCAGATGCAGCTTCAAATGTCTTTAAACGACACCAGACGATGAATAAGGGTCTTATCATGCGAAACGATCGGTTATTTCAAAACTTATTCCAAAAATGTAACTTTTCTAAGGACAAATGCTAGCCTTGATATATTCTCTGAGGCGCGTTTGTAACGTCACGTAATACGTAATTACGTTCAAAAGGTCACGGGCGACGTAGCCGGAAGTACAGAATCAAAATCGTCCGACAACGTTGTTTTACCTTTTAATTCCTTTTTTTGTATACGGTGTTTGAGCTAGTTTGCACGTTCAACCTATGCGTTCAACTTGTAAACACTGACTCTGTACTTTCGGCTACGTCGCCCGTGACCTTTTGAACGTAATTACGTAATACGTGACGTTGCAAATGCGCCTCACAGAATATAGCAAGGCTAGCTTAAAAAAGTTACATTTTTGGAATAAGTTTTGAAATAACCGATCGTTTCGCATGATAAGACCCTTATTCATCGTCTGATATTGTTTAAAGACATTTGAAGCTGCATCTGAAACTGAAAAGTCTTTTGGACCTTGAACCATCCGGTTCCTATTGAAGTCCATTATATGGAGAAAAATCCTGGAATGTTTTCATCAAAAACCTTAATTTCTTTTCGACTGAGGAAAGAAAGACATGGACATCTTGGATCAGACTGATCTCATGAAGTAGCGTGTATATGACACGCCAGTTCGTATTTCCATTTTTGGCGTGCTATCAAGACGCATAATCGCTTTTCAGCGTGTTTATGAAAAGCGCGTTGACTTAAAGTTATTACTGTATATATAAATATATGACTTACCTCAACTCCGTCCCTAAACCTAACCGTCACTGGGGTTAATGGCATTTATGAGTGTTCCCTTACCATTCTAGGAAAAAAAAAAGATCGCTCCCCAGATGTAGATCTAAATTTTGCTTTGTCTTGAGCGGACATTTGACGGCGTGTACAGACTCACTCGGACGTTAATGGCGTAGACATACACGCGGATAGCTCAAAATGCGTAGAGATAACATGCCACTTGACTCGAAAGTGGCGTGTATGTTTACGCAAAAGTCATGATGTCATGTTGAAATCATACACAACTGTTGTCGCAAGAAGCTGTCCGCGGCAAAGCAACCACTGTAAATCCACGCATCGACTGGACAGCCAATGACGATCGTACACACCATCATTGGACAAAAATCTGAAATCAGACAGAACAAGAAAGAAAAGGGAGGGGGAAAAAAGCGCAATAGAACAAAGAAACGCAGATCGCAACAGTCCTTCGTATCAGAAGTAGCTTCAGGATTGTTACGACCTTTATTCTTGTATTTCTGTTTGGAATCTGCTGGATTTGCATTTGTCATTTTGTTGTGTCCATTGTGTCAGGTGTATAGACATGGTGTAAGAAGTTTCAGGAGAAACATCTAATAATACACATGAAACATAAATAGTTAGATACTTCACCCAAAGTAGTACAGGTTTGGACCAACATTTTTCATTTTTGGGTGAACTATCCCTTTAAGACTTTGGGTGAAATACACTCACCTAAAAGATTATTAGGAACACCTGTTCAGTTTCTCATTAATGCAATTATCTAATCAACCAATCACATGGCAGTTGCTTCAATGCATTTAGGGGTGTGGTCCTGGTCAAGACAATCTCTTGAACTCCAAACTGAATGTCAGAATGGGAAAGAAAGGTGATTTAAGCAATTTAGAGCATGGCATGGTTGTTGGTGCTGGACGGGATCTGCTCAGTTACTGGGATTTTCACGCACAACCATTTATAGGGTTTACAAAGAATGGTGTGAAAAGGGAAAAACATCCAGTATGCGGCAGTCCTGTGGGCGAAAATTCCTTGTTGATGCTAGAGGTCAGAGGAGAATGGGCCGACTGATTCAAGCTGATAGAAGAGCAACTTTGACTGAAATAACCACTCGTTACAACCGAGGTATGCAGCAAAGCATTTGCGAAGCCACAACACACACAACCTCGAGGCGGATGGGCTACAACAGCAGAAGACCCCACCGGGTACCACTCATCTCCACTACTAATAGGAAAAAGAGGCTACAATTTGACAGAGCTCACCAACATTGGACAGTTGAAGACTGGAAAAATGTTGCCTGGTCTGATGAGTCTCGATTTCAGATGGTAGAGTCAGAATTTGGCGTAAACAGAATGAGAACATGGATCCATCATGCCTTGTTACCACTGTGCAGGCTGGTGGTGGTGGTGTAATTGTGTGGGGGATGTTTTCTTGGCACACTTTAGGCCTCTTAGTGCCAATTGGGCATCGTTTAAATGCCACGGCCTACCTGAGCATTGTTTCTGACCATGTCCATCCCCTTACGGCCACCATGTCCCCATCCTCTGATGGCTACTTCCAGCAGGATAATGCACCATGTCCCAAAGCTCGAATCACTTCAAATTGGTTTCTTGAACATGACAATGAGTTGACTGTACTAAAATGGCCCCCACAGTCACCAGATCTCAACCCAATAGAGCATCTTTGGGATGTGGTGGAAGAATGCTTTCAGCACCTTGTTGAATCAATGCCACATAGAATTAAGGCAGTTCTGAAGGCAAAAGGGGGTCAAACAGTATTAGTATGGTGTTCCCAATAATCCTTTCGGTGAGTGTATACCTTTAAGTTTTAAACTTACATACATTTTTGTTTCTCTCAAATACATATTCATATTTTTTTTGTGGATGAACTTGTGTATCATTTTTGACCTCTTTCATTTACAAAAGTCCAGCAGTAGTAAATACCAGAGTCCCACACCCTAGCAACCGTAGGCCATACTAAATAACTCTATAAAAACTCATGGACGTGTGGAGGTTGATGGCACTGCTTGCTGCGAGTTTTACTCGGGTTGTCTGAGACACTGAATGTTCTGCCCTTCGGCATGAATTCAGATTACACTACCGGAGAGGAACCTATATGTGACCTGGTATGCGCTATTGAAGGCTTGAAGAGAGGATGTTTGTGTGGTATTAAGGCTACACTCACCCAGAATGTGTGTGTGGAGCACTCTCTGTGTGCTCAGAGTCGTCCTGTTCACCATCTTCTCGAGAGACCTCGTGTCCCACATTTTGCCTTCACAAACACTGAACCTTGGTCCACAGAAGCACCAGAGATTCGTTGTTAAAACTCACAATTTTCTGCCCTCAACCACGTCTCATTTTCTTTCGGGATTTGTCTTTTCTCTCAGCCTTTGACTTGCTGATGGTCGCTTAGCAACATGGACAACAAAACAACAGACTGTGCGCTGCTTAGCATTCAAGAATGATTTGATCCAAGAGATTTCAGACAAGATGCCTGCCAGCATGTGTATGTGTGTGTGCGTTTTATTGTGTGGAAGTGTTTTATGAGCAGCCTCCCACTGCGCTAGTCATTTGAGATGTTTTGCTTCAGGGTTCATGCTCATTTGTGGGTCACAGTTTGTGCAATACAAAGAGCCTAAAATGGAATATAATGCTCAAAATGGAACCTCACAGATATTTGGAAACCAAAACGATGTAACAGAAATATTCCAAAATGATAAATCCAAAAATAAAACATTAAAATTACATATTAAAAATTTATTTAAAATAGAAAACAAACACAGATTTGAACATTTTCTAAACACAATATGACTGGTGCTTACCCTTGCAAAAGTTGCTGCCATGATGCTAGCTGATAGGTGAGATAAATGAATAACACTGATGGTTAAGTACATCACCCTGGATCTAAACCTAAATTTGACATAAACTGTAAACTTGTCCCTCAAATCTGATTGGTTGATTGGAAAGTTGTTAATTGGTTGGTACTTGGTGAAATAAATACCCACAGTAAATACCCACCGGAGTGCCACAGGGCTCAGTACATAGACCGCTTTTATTCTCCATTTACATCAAATCAGTATTCATCACCTCTTACATCGTTCTTATGAAGATACTCAACTAATTATCTTATTTCATCCCTCTAACAACCAGTTATCCTCATGAATCACTGCATTTGTAGCAAGCATTAATGTCTGGATGAAAGGCCATCATCTGAAGCGGAATTGATCAAAAAACCTCTGTTCATCCCCGTGAGGAAACAACTTTGCCAAACCTCATCACTCTCAACTCTTTTCACCCACACAGAAAGCAAACAACAACTTCTAGTCACACTTGACAACTTCCAGCCATTTGCGCCCACATATGAAGCAGATTCACCCAGCTGAACATCCACAAAGTCAGACGTTTTCTCGACTTGGACAGTCAATGCTGAATGTCACACCTTCAACACATCATCGCTCTTTGCTTTTCCTCCTCGCATGACGTGCGAACAGCAACATCCTAACTAATCTTCAGATGCAGACACAGCTAAAGAACATTTTGTATGTTGGTTTAGATAAGAGATATGTAGTTCTAAATGTGTTTGTGTTTTCTAACTCAAAGTATTAAAGAGCATACACAACATCTGCAAAATTAAAACGCTAAAAGTTCAAAGCAAAGGGAGACATTTTCTGCTAACACAGGAGCTCTTGAAGCTCCGCCCTCTGTGCCGGGAGCTGCAGCTCATTTGCATTTAAAGGGACACACACAAAACGACGCGTGTTTGCTCATCCCCAAAAAGGAACCATTTTAACCATGCTACAAAAATTATCTGTGGGGTATTTTGAGCTAAAATTTCACATACACACTCTGGACTCTGGAGACATCAGAGTCTTATTTTACATCTTGTAAAAACGGGCGCTATACCACCCCTTTAAAATAAGTTTTGTTTTGTGTCTATTTTGCAAATTACATATTACAGATTTTATTGTGTTCAATGTATAATTAACTTGATCTTCCAGGGAAAATAACTTATCTTTTGGAGACATGTCCGACTTTTACAATCACTAAGTTCACATAATGACCCCTTCACAATCGACACTCACATCCAATACAAACCGCCCTACCTTTTATTTATTCTTCGATAATCCATTAAACTCAGATTTTAGGTAAATATATGGAAATGATTCGTCATTTTATTGTGACTAAGAATGCTAACATTTTTGTTAAGATTGTTTTTCATTCAAAATTTGACAAAAAAATCATTTTTTAATTAAAATTTACTTTATAATAACTTCTTTCCAATATGCATCACACAATTTGTATATATTGAAATTGTTGTAATACACTGCTGTAAAAAAAAAAAACGATGCTCTTTTAAAAACACTTACAACATGTTTCAAGAGTTGCACTTCGGAACATCCTAACAAACGTCTTAGAATTTTATATTTTCAATATTTTTTTCTTAAGACAACTTTAGTGCCTATGATTGCGTTGAAACTGGCATGATATCGCAGAACAAATGCTGGACGGGAGAAGTTACGCGCCCATGAAGTTTAATACTTTGAGTTAGAGGTTTGTTCAAAGCATTCGCAATAGTAACTTACCTTTGCAAACACCACTAATTACGACATTTTTTTACGTAAACATGTTTATTAATCTTAGCCACTGCGATCTACCTGTAGCAAACGGTTCCTCCGGGCAGAAAGAGCCACAAGCAGACCTGAATGAGATGGCTTTACAATCCAGGAAAACTGTACAAAATAAAAGGGGATGTGTTACACATTTGTACAAAAACTGAAGCTTTCAGCAGTGGATGTACTGTAATATGATGACTAGAGTATGTTTGGCAAGCCTGAAACATTCAAACCCACTGCTTTAAAGAGTAAATTAAAGAACATAAAGACAAGGTAAAAGTGTACATTTGTAAAAATGAAAAGACTCTCTCACACACACACATAAACAAACAAACACAAGTTATTATAAAAGGGAATGTGCCGCCTCAGCTAAAGCAACGAGGCTCATTGAGAGGCCGGAAACCAACCAGTCATTCACGCACACTAAAGCAGATTACTGGCTTACAAAAATATATTCACAGCTGTCCACTGTAGCTTTATAACACATTTAACATTAGATAAACCGTCTCAGTCCATCATACACAGACCATCCCGGTGTCAAAATCATGGATTAAACCTGCTCCTGAAATAACTGTTCTGTCTTCACTGAAAGTCCCAGACAAGGCTCAACGTGTTTCCTGAAAACAGGTTCTACACGGTGAAAGGAAAACAAGCCAAAAGCGAATCGGAAAAGGCCGTGCAGGTAAACGGTAAACCTGAGAGGCATCTCACTCCGGCAGATCCTTAGAAAACCCAACGTAAACATCAATTTAAAGGGATACTCCACTTTTTTTTTGGAAATGGGCTCATTTTACAACTCCCCCAGAGTTAAACAGTCGAGTTTTACTGTTCTTGAATCCATTCAGACTATTTTCTGCTATTTAGAAGAATATCAGTAACCAGACAGTTTCTGGTCTCATTGACTTCCGGAAGTCAATGAGACCAGAAACTGTCTGGTTACTGATATTCTTCTAAATAGCAGAAAATCGGCTGAATGCATTTTAAAACGGTGAAACTCAACTGTTTAACGGGTTAGTTCACCCAAAAATGAAAATTCTGTCAGTATTTACTCACCCTCATGTTGTTCCAACCCCGTAAGACCTTCGTTCATCTTCGGAACACAAATTAAGGATATTTAAGATATTAAGATCGCTCCTGCATACAGTCCATAGGCTTCTTGAGGGAATGACTTGCTGTCCTCGAAAAGTCATTAAAGACATCGTTAAAATAGTCTACAAAGTGACTACAGTGGCTCAATTTTAACTTTATCAAGCGTCGAGAACACTTTTTGTGCGCAAAAAAACAACAAAAATAACGACTTTATTTCAACTATTCGTTTATTTCTCCCTCTGCGCGAGTCAGGTTACTAGTTTAATAGCGTAAGCTTCTGTTATTGTACGTCACACGCATCACACACACATGACCAGTGTCGGCCAATAGTGAGCCTACGTGTGACGTAGCTCTACGCAATCACACTACGTTAACGGACTATAGGCTTATGGAGAAGGAAGTGAATAGTTGAAATAAAGTCGATATTTTTGTTTGTTTTTGCGCACAAAAAGTGTTCTCGTCGCTTGATAAAGTTAAAATTGAGTCACTGTAGTCACTTGGACTATTTTAACGATGTCTTTAATGACTTTTCGATGCCATTCCCTCAAGAAGCCTATGGACTAGTATACAGGAGCGATCTTAATATCTTAAATATCTTAATTTGTGTTGCGAAGATGAACGAAGGTCTTACAGGGTTGGAACAACATGAGGGTGAGTAAATACTGAGGGTGAACTAACCCTTTAACTCTGGGGGAGTTGTAAAATGAGCCTATTTCCAAGAAAAGTGGACTATCCCTTTAAAGAGCCATCGAAACAAAAAAAAAAATTAAAATGAATTATTCATATTTCAGAGATGTTCCAGATCATCAAAATCATAATTTTTTGTCAGAACCAGTTTAAATTCAGTTGATTGTGGTTTGTTTGGACTTTTAGACATTCACCGATCGAGGTTTACGAACCTAGCGGGATGCAAAAAGGCCGGGGGATTTAAAAAAACGGACTATTCTACAATTAAAACCAATGCAGAATTACAGTCTTATAACTCTTAACAATCAGTGTGATAGGTTTGGGCAGTAGATTATGGGTCCGTTTGGTGTGCAGTTTTACAATCAAATGTTCTAGCTTTCAACGACCGCTGGCTCCTCCCCCTGCGGCCTCTCATTGGTGGAGCCCAATGGGCCGGCCCACCACAGCACCAGAGCGTTGTCCTGTCGGACGTCGTTTGTTGGCATCACATTCGCCTCGTCTGAATCAGACCCCGAGTCCCCGCTGTCAGACGGCCAGCAGAACTTGCGCTGACCACTGGACGAAGCCACTAATGGCATGAAAGGGTGCACACTAGAAAGGAGAGGTAAAGTTAGAAATGTTTAGTCATTTACATTTATTTATTTAGCAGATTAAAACGTGCACTATGTAATAGGGGTGTATAACAATATATCGGCTCACAATATCTCGTAATACAAAAACGCAACAATATGTATACGTATTGTGTATAGTTCACCCAAAATAACATTTCTGTGTGAGGAAAAAAATTCACGTTTTCAGAGTTTTAGTGTCAGTACTACATTAAATTACTATATATAATGTTGAAAATAATGCAATGGGGGAATATTTGTGTAAAAAGTAGCCTACATTATTTTTAAAATATCTAGTCAGCAGTGTTGTGCAAGTTACTTCCAAACTGTAATACATTAGGTATTACTTGTTACTGTTATTTAAAAGTAATTCATTACCTTACAATATTACTGTCTCAGAATTGTAATGCGTTACATTACTCATGTATTACTTTTGAGTTCCTTTCACCAAAATAACTAAGTAGAACTTAACTTTGGGGCTGTAACGATATTTAATATGAAACCGAAATCGCGATTCGCCACACGACTCAGATCCACGAACCTACAGAATCGCGACAAACCTCTTCCAACTCCCAGCGTTATTCTCCTTACCGTCCAGATCCAATGCTGCCTTATCTTTAAATTAGGCTATTAGTATTATTTGAAGTTAACATTATAAAAGACGTAGACCTACACCACAAAACTAGTTGAGGATAAATTATTTAAAATTGGGGAAGTCCAGCATTATGGACATGACATTTGCAGTCAAAACTTGAAATAAAAATTCTCAGAAAATACATAAAGGACTCCAGACATTAGACAAATATCAGTCTATGTTTTATTTTTAATATTAGGGAAAAGACACACATTCATGCGTGACAAAAAAATAGGAGGCAAAATATATTTTTTGTAATTCTGTTAATTACACTGCGCAAATCGGATGAGGAAGGGTTGGCTCTTCAGTCTCCATAGAACTTAAAATATTCATTTTATTTTAGTTTTCGTGTTCGCATTTATGAGGAAAAAACAATGTTACAGACGCGACCGCTCTGAACTGGCACTAAAAGACTGCTTTAAAACTTTCACATAGTATGTTGCCTTTTAAGAAGTAAAAGCAGACAATACACTGTAATACAACTGTAATACATGCCTCACTGAACATGTAACGAGTAAAATATTACTGAAAATTGATTAGTAATGCCTTACACTACTGCGTTACAGCAAAAAGTAATATGTTACTGTAATGTATTACTTTTGTAATGCGTTACTCCCAACACTGCTAGTCAGGGAAAGAGTGTAAGCATATTCGTCTAAATAATTCAGTATTTTTCAGCTTCAGAATCATGAATATTTGTATTCTGGTGTCACTATTGTCCTGTGCATTGGGTTATCAGCACCAAGTCCAAGCTGATTCATTTACACACACAATGTAATATCAAATTTAGCATTTTAATCAACAGTATATTTTTGGTTAACCTTTTATCGTATGTCTTGGAGTATCGCAATAATATCGTATCGTGAGTTCAGTATCGAATAGATGTATCCTTCGCTTTCCAATCTGTGAGAGTTGAGCAATAAAATAAAGATGGCATCTGAAAGGTGTGTTTGTGCATAAATGTAAGTTTTTAATCAACATTTTCCACTTCTGATGTAATTTCTAGGGATTTCCAGTAATTAAATATTCACCAGAGCTCACTCTATTTAGCTGTAGATCATTAAAGCGTCCCTCTGCCTCAGAAGTCTGTCCGAAATCAGTTTCGTGACAGAAAGCTCTCGGACTAAATCTAAAATATCTTAAACTGTGTCCCGAAGATGAACGGAGGTCTCACGAGCTCGGTGTGAGTCATTAAGGACATCATTTTCATTTTTGGGGGAACTAACCCTTTAATTAATACTTGTACCTGATGCCATTAGCACAATCTGTGTGCGCCTGATACTGCAGCATTGGCTGTAGTGTCTCCTCATTCCCATCAGGTGGCGCTGTGAGGGTGTCCCACACTGACACCACACCATCGGTGTCCCCGCTCAGCAGATATCGTCCGGATCTAATTCAGACGCACACATGAGCAGAACATAAACAGGTCTGAATACTATGGTTGAGTTTTTAGGCGAGTTGATCTTACTGGTCCATGTCAAAGTAGATGCGCTGGTTGGTATTGACGTTCCTGTGCAAGGAGAACAGAACCTGTCCTGGATCTCTCACGTCCCAGCACAGGATCTCCGAGTCCTAAAGGCAGGGACACACAGTATTAGCGAGACAATTCAAAACATGCAAGGAAATAGCAGCGGCCGATGCATCTGATATCCGTCATATTTCATTTGCACACTGACCTTGCGGCCGCCCGTGTACATGTGATAGCCGTTGGGTGAGAACAGCAGGTGTGTAAGGCCTCCGTGGTGTCGAGTGGGCAGAAGAGCCAGCAGAGATCCATCATCACAAGAGTAAAGGCCGGTCGAACGAGAATATGAGCCTAAGGCGTACATGGACTGGCACGGACTGAAGGCAATGCAGGAGATAATGCCAGTCTGACCCTGTTTCTTCACTTGAAAGAAGAATGAGGTATGAAACGAGCGGGGAGAAAAACAGGAACAAAAGTTATTTTGTATTAGAGAACAAAGAGCTTTAATGGTCGATGCGACGGAGAGCTCAGGGCTGCTTTTTCTGTATCAGATCAGCCCGTGAATCCTGTATCGTCGAGACTCAGGATTCATGTAGTTAAAGGAGTAGTTCACTTTTAAAAAAAACATTTGCTGATAATTTACTCACCCCCATGTCATCCAAGATGTCCATGTCTTTCATTCTTCAGTCGAAAATAAATTAAGGTTTTTGATGAAAACATTCCAGCATTTTTTTCCATATAATGGACCTCAATGGGAACCAAACGGTTCAAGGTTCAAATGAGAGTTTCAGTGCAGCTTCAAAGGGCTTAAAATGACACCAGACGATGAATAAGGGTCTTATCTAGTGAAACGATCGCTCATTTCAAAAATAAATAAAAAAGTTTAAGTTTTATAAGCACAAATGGTCACCTTGCTCAGTTCTGTGATGCACGTTCCTGACTCTCTCCTGTTCAAACTCGTTCATTAAAATGTACAGATCTTTTTGACTCGAAGGGTCCTAAATTAGACTCTTATTCATCGTCTGGTGTCGTTTAAAGCCCTTTGAAGCTGCACTGAAACTCTCTTTTGGACCTTGAACCGTTTGGTTCCCATTGAAGTCCATTATATGGAGAAAATCCTGGAATGTTTTCATCAAAAACCTTAATTTCTTTTCGACTGAAGAAATGTATATCTTGGATGACATGGGGGTGAGTAAATTATCAGCAAAAGTGAACTACTCCTTTAATGTGTTGGGTAAAGTCCTTTGTTCTAGAACATTTGACGGTTTGCATTGAATTACGGAATTGTAATGATACATTTACCTGACATAATAAATTGTTATATTTGATTATTCTAACAGACTTTGACTTTATTTTCATTAGAGTTAAAAGGAATAGTCAAGCATTAACTTATTAAATGATGAACAGATATCATTGAAAACCTTTTTCATTTTATGGAGTCAGATGAAACATTTTGCATTTGATTAAAAATCCCTTTGCCGAGGGAAAGACGGAACACGCATGAGACCTTCGACTCTGATCGAAATGTTATTATAAATGTTATATCACTGTCTTTGATAAAGTTTTGTCTATCCATTTATGGTATTTTTTTATTTTGGGAGTATTTTTGAAATTATTTACTTCAAAAAGTACCATATTTTCTATGTAAATTATGATTATTTTTATGTTTAATTTTTTAACTACATTAAAATAACATTCCAAAAAAATTCTTAGAGCTAAAACCTTAAGATGAAGCGACTTTGCTGTCACCAGGGTGTCTTATTTTGACTTATTTTAGAACGCTCTAAATTACAGTTTTTCCCATTCATTTCTATAGGTGCCCATTTTTGACCCAAATACAAGATTAAGTAGTTTTTCACCCACATAACATTGTAGAATTGAGTGTGAAAAAAAAAATGTGTGTGTGTGTTCAGGAGGCAAACTTAGGAAAAGTAGCCAAGTCTTGTACCGCTCAGATCAAGGGAAGTATTTTTAAAAAATAAATCAAAACTATTTTGCCCACATTTGTCCAGAATACAGTTTTAGGGTTATAAAGGGATTATTCTGTCATTAATTACTCGCCCTCATGTCGCTCAACACTCGATCGTTCATCTTCAAAATAGAAATGAAGACCCTTTTAACGAAATCTGAGAGATTTCGGTTCCTCCATTGACAGATACGCTTCAAAAAGTTCACAAAAAGTTTGTAAAACTAATCCATATGAGTCGAGCAATTAAGCCAAATTTTTCAGAAGAAACTCAATCGCTAGCCTTTACATGATCATTTGATTTAGGCTTTTATTCACATACTGTATAAACATTGATCAACTAACATAAACAGAAGCTCAACTGAACCTGTCACAAAGTGTCAGTTATGTAGCTGTCAATGCAGGGACAGAGAGCTCAGATTTCTTTAAAAAAAGATTTGTGTTCTGAAGATGAACGACATGAGGGCGAGTAATTAATGACAGAATTTGAATGTTTAGGTGAACTGTCCCTTTAAGGGGTCTAACGAGAAGCTGAATTTACTCGCTTACGGCGGGAGTCAAACAACATTGCAACTTTACGCATAAATACAGAATTAATTTGATGTGCCGTCACAGGTGTCCACTTCTGTTCAAAAGTTTGGGGTCGGTAAGATTTTGTACTCAAAAAATAAATAAGTTACAATTAAACAATTTAAAATAACTGTCAATTTCAGTACATTTTAAAATGTAATGTATCTTCAGCATCATTACTTCAGTCTTCAGTGTCACATGATCCTTCAGAAATCACTCTAATATGATGATTTGCTGCTCATGAAACATTATCATCAATGTTGAAAACAGTTCTTTTGATGGAAAGTGTGATGCAATTTTTCAGGATTCTTTGATGAATAGAAAGTTTTGAATATATTTCAACATCAGAAATATTATGCAACACGACTATAAATGTCCTTGAATAATATATATATATATGAAGAGTTCAGATGCAAAAGCCTCTAAATGCATTTTTATCAAGCTTGTATATTTAAGTTCAGTGATTTCACTTAAATGACAATTAATAGGTAATCTGCATTGCCATTTAAGTGAAATTACTGAACTTAAATATACAAGCTTGATAAAAATGATCATTTTAGAAGAAAATTTCAAATGGCATTTAGAGGCTTTTGCATCTGAACTCTTCATACATTTGACCCCGAACCATTGAACAGTAATGTACAGTACGTATATCAGCTACTTTGGTATGTGGCTCATCTAATCAGAACTATATTATCAATTTTACTATAATATAATAGGCCTGCATATTTCAAACACTCATGATTCTGAACAAAAGATCTTTTGTGTTACATCCAGGCCAATAATTACAATCGCAGTGTTGAAACAACGTGAATGAGTCAGACACCACAAACATGCTAAGATAATTATATCCACAGCCACTGTCTAGATGAGAGCCATGTTAGCTCAATCAAGCACAATACGTGTGTCCCGCCATTGGAATGAATCCACCCAAACAAACAAAAAGAAATGAAATGGGATTACAGGCGTTCCACACCCATGCAAGCCAGACAGCCGTCTTAATGACCCCGATTAAAACCTGTTTGAAGAGTGAGAGTGATTGATGTAGCGGTTATTTCTATACAAGAGGGACCCTCACCCATGGTGGGCCGTTCCTCGCAGTCTCTCCCAGGACGGTCGGTGTGGAAAACCCTGACGGTTTTATCAAAGCCGCAGTAGAGCTGAGAGCCGTCGGGAGAGAAACACAGGGAATGGGCCGCGGTCAGCTCATCCAGGTGGTTGTAGGGACGAAAAGATGCACGGAGGACCCCGTAGAACGCGTCCCATATGTGGACTGGGTTGTCTCGGCTACTGCTGGCAATGCTGAAGGGACAAGCAATAAAAAAAAGAGGGAAACTGAAATACAAACTTTTTTTCAAAACAACAAGCGAATGCAGCATTTGACTTAAAGGAGTAGTTCACTTTTTACTCACCCCCGTCATCCAAGATGTCCACGTCATTCTTTCTTCAGTCGAAAAGAAATTAAGGTTTTTGATGAAAACATTCCAGGATTTTTCTCCATATAATGGACTTCATTGGGAACCAAACGGTTCAAGGTCCAGTGCAAACTGCAAACTGTTCAAAGGGCTTTAAATGATTCCAGACGATGAATAAGAGTCTTATCAAGCGAAACGATCAGTCACTTTTTTTAAAAATAGCAAAGTTTAAGTTTTATAAGCTCAAATGCTCACCTTGCTCTGTTCTGTGTGACTCTCCTGTTCGAACTCATTCATCAAAATGAACGAATCTTTTTCTGAGTCAATTCGTTCGTTGAATGAACCAAATGACTCGAAAAAGATTCGTTCATTTCGTTCATTTTTGTACTCAAAAAATAAATAAGTTACAATTAAACAATTTAAAATAACTGTCAATTTCAGTACATTTTAAATGTAATTTATTCCTGTAATTTATTCCTTTATTCCTGAAAAATCCTGGAATGTTTTTATCAAAAACCTTAATTTCTTTTCGACTGAAGAAAGAAAGATATGGACATCTTGGATGACATGGGGGTGAGTAAATTATCAGCAAAAGTTTTTTTTTAAAAAAGTGAACTACTCCTTTAATAATCACTCTGGCTTTTGTCTAAACCAGCAACACAAAAGACCCATTCACAATAGAGAATCTAACAAATGAAGAGCTAAGACAATTTGAAGTGAAAGATGACGACTGCCGCTAGATGAAAGAAATTAGGCAGATGAGTACGTGCCCCACAAAGGATTGGAAAATCCCTAGGCAATCCCTTGGCATTGATAGGGGACAGTACAAACTATATATATATACAGGTATATAATTATAAAATTAAGGATTGCAGAACATTCAAAAAGATATTTATAAACCATTTCTGCCCTTAATGGCAAAACAAGGCAAGTTATTGCATGGAAACTCAGTCATGTGGGGATTAAATACATGAATACTCTCATGAATATGAGTGAACGGTATGATTTTACTGAAAAACTGCTAAATTGTCAGATTGTTTTTCACCAAATTCTGATCGTTTCGCTTGATAAGACCCTTATTCATCGTCTGGTGTCGTTTAAAGCCCTTTGAAGCTGCACTGAAACTCTCATTAGGACCTTGAACCGTTTGGTTCCCATTGAAGTCCATTATATGGAGAAAAATCCTGGAATGTTTTCATCAAAAACCTTAATTTCTTTTCGACTGAAGAAAGAAAGATATGGACATCTTGGATGACATGGGGGTGAGTAAATTATCAGCAAAAGTTTTTTTTAAAAAAGTGAACTACTCCTTTAATAATCACTCTGGCTTTTGTCTAAACCAGCAACACAAAAGACCCATTCACAATAGAGAATCTAACAAATGAAGAGCTAAGACAATTTGAAGTGAAAGATGACGACTGCCGCTAGATGAAAGAAATTAGGCAGATGAGTACGTGCCCCACAAAGGATTGGAAAATCCCTAGGCAATCCCTTGGCATTGATAGGGGACAGTACAAACTATATATATACAGGTATATATTTATAAAATTAAGGATTGCAGAACATTCAAAAAGATATTTATAAACCATTTCTGCCCTTAATGGCAAAACAAGGCAAGTTATTGCATGAAAACTCAGTCATGTGGGGATTAAATACATGAATACTCTCATGAATATGAGTGAACGGTATGATTATACTGAAAAACTGCTAAATTGTCAGATTGTTTTTCACCAAATTCTGATCGTTTCGCTTGATAAGACCCTTATTCATCGTCTGGTGCCGTTTAAAGCCCTTTGAAGCTGCACTGAAACTCTCATTAGGACCTTGAACCGTTTGGTTCCCATTGAAGTCCATTATATGGAGAAAAATCCTGGAATGTTTTCATCAAAAACCTTAATTTCTTTTCGACTGAAGAAAGAAAGACATGGCCATCTTGGATGACATGGGGGTGAGTAAATTATCAGCAAAAGTTTTTTCCAAGTGAACTAATCCTTTAACCAGGCCTCGCCAACCTTTTTTGCATATTACGTGGGTGAAGATTATTTAAATGAGGAACACGACTTCCCATATTGAGCCATTCATTTTAGAGTCATTAAAGACTAACATAGTTCATGAATAGTGGATTCTGTTTATTTAAATATCTCCTTTAAAGTGGAGTCGGACTTTAAGCTTTGTAACCTTTGTAAAATACTGTTTGTACTGTTTTTTTTCCCTTTTTATTCTAAACAGTGTTAATTAATCTCTCAGTGTTGATTTCTTTTGATATTTTTAATTACTTATATGTTAATATAAGCACTTTGAATTACCGTTGTGTATGAAATGTGGTGTATAAATAAACTTGTCTTCCGATATTTTTATGCTCAAACTAACTAAAAGGGAAAACGCATAATAGGAATAAAAAATAAACAAACTGTTTTCCAGAGGAAATTTGATTAGCTTTTATTCATTTGTGTGCGATTTCAACAAATATTTGAGTCATTCAATTTCCGATTTATTTTTTCATTTGTCTTTATGGTCCCCTTTAAAATAAAAAATAAAAATCCATGTCATGACCCCTTAAAGCTGGTTATGCAAATTCACTGTGGTGACCAACAGAAAGTGGATTAGTTTGAAAGTGAATTGTAAAGCATAATTAAATTAATGCCATATGGGTTTGGATTGGCACGACAAGAGTAAATGATCTCAGAATTTTTTTATTTTTTGGAGAACCGTTCCCTTAAGTACAGATCCGCCGTTCTGTCTCAACAGGAGGGCAAGAGTTTAAAAGTGAATAATGAGAAACTACACAAAATGACTAGAGTCGAGATGGAGGAAGTAAATGACCTGAATACTAAGCACCTCCCCTGGAGGAAACAGCCAATCATAAGTCAGAGTTAATGATCAACCCCTGTGGACCATCAAGCAGCGCTTTAAGCCCGTGGCAGCAGCCAGAACATTACGCTACGCTCGCCTGGAAGACAAATACTCCAAAAGTGCTTGTTTGACAGTGCTTCAGAAATACCTGTAAACATTATCACTACGACGAGATAAAAGATGACAAACTGTTACTGAGCCTGTCTCGTCTGACTCCTTTAACCTCATCCTCTTCATCCTAACGATTCCTTTATGAAGTTTACAGTTTGTCCTTGACCCGCGACTTGTCGTTCCTCCCTTTCCTTTGTCATTTTCGGTCGCTACAGGGAGGATTCTGTAATCCCAAACAACGTTTGATCAGAGCTGATGCTGTGTGTGTGAAACAGCACATGCCACAGTTAATGAGCCCTCGTTAGCAGCCTGCCGCAGTTATCCATGACGACTGCCATTGACTTGGACTGATTTCTGTTCCAATGCCTTTTGTCCAACAAAAAACATAACCATCAAAGAGAACATCATTAAACGAAAGCCGGAGCGACAGAGAACTGGAGATGAAGAATAAGAGACCACTTACTTCCTCCCTAAACAATTCCAGCACCGCTTTCTGAAA